AGTATAGTTCGCAGCCCTGATCGTACTAGCTGAAATTTTTTCGCCTGGGGGATAGTTGAAGTACCTATATACATATGTACACTTTTAAGATGCATGCATGTGAATTATGCGTGGCTTTTTTGTGTCTCTGTATTTCGCTAACTCCCTGTGTGAGGAAACCAAATAATGTAATTCTTAACAGAATTGCCTAAAACTTAGCAGTTTGGCAATGATAAACACTGTTGAAGCTAAATTCTGGTATTTCTCTTACTAGCGCCTGAAACTATACTTATTATTTACTACCGCCGGCAGCTTTAGCAAAGTTATAGCGTTTTTATGTTCTTTGGCAAATAACGCTCTGTCAGCCATAAATTTTACTATGTTTTGACCTCCTTTGTATCAAGACCCCTGGACCATTTACGGAATTCATTTATATTTTGAATTGCATTGTCATCGTGATTGGAACTATGCTGACTGTACCTTGTCAGGAAGTTAGTTTAAAATCGATTGGAAATTTCCGAATTGGCTCGGGCAATACTTTCCAGTAGATAAATAAAATAATTAAAAAGAAAATCTTCAAAATAAACAAAATTTTCACGAAAGTTCAGTAAGAAAAATACGATAAGAAAATTTTTAACTAATTTTTTGCTAACTAGTTACCAAATCTAATAATTTCTAACCAATGCCGTTATGCCGTTAACCCTATGTCTGCTAGCGTAACAATTTCGCTAGCGGAATTGGTCATAACCAGGGCCGAAAAGTTGAAGCTTTTGCTTGGAATTGCTTATATTGCTTATTCAGGGTTTCCAAGCTTAATTTTAAGGGTCATGCTTATTTTGTTTGTTTCAATGTATAGAGCTAGGTATGAACCTTTTAAGAAAACGGCCAAGAAATAAGTTGCTCTAAATTCGTGTGTGTGAGTAGTATCCAAGGAGTTTTGACATCTGATATTTTACAGGTTTACATATTTTACCATAGTAGAAACATAGCGAATTTATTAAGAACTTCGTACTGCTTAAGAAAACTTGGCTCAAAAAAAATTTCTTGGGCGTTTTTTATATTTGTCGAACCAAAGAAATGTTTACAAATAATAAACTAAAACTGATTTGGTTTATTAACCCGCAACTTCAATTGCATTTCTGCTCGGATACAAAAATTTAAAACCAATGGTTTGTCTCTACGGGAAGGCATTGGTGTTATTGAAGACATTAAAAATTATCTCAAATGGAGAATAACGAATATTTAAAAAATAATAAAACGACCAGCGCTGATCTCTATTATTCGAGAATATCAAGCAACACTTGATTGTACATTGTAATTTTTCAATACTTGAAATAAACTGAATAATAAACAAAACATTAAACTGTACTTAAATTTTGTTGTTTTGCGAGCATATTTGCAAGCATATTTACCAATGTTTTAGTGCTTATCTAAGCGCTTAAAATGGATTTTTTCCTGCTTATTTTCTTCCGGCATGGCCATAACTATGTTACAATTATCAAAAAAAAATCTTCTTGTGCGCAAAATTTTTGGATCGAGGAATACTTTCCAGTTAAAAAAAATTTAAAAAATCTTTAAAATAAACAAAATTTTCGTAAAAATTTTTTTTGGTATGAAAAATACGATAAGATGATTTTTAACTAATTTTTTGCTAACTAATTACCGAATCCAATAGCGTAACAATTTCGTTATAATTTCTAAAAAACTCAGCCTATCCTGTTGAACGTACGTTAAGTAAATAAAATTGCATATCTAATTCTCCGAAAATATACTGTCGATGGCGTAGCCGGGGTTACATGCACAATAAATGTTGAATACCTTTGGCAATAGAAAGGTGTTCTGCACAAAAATACTGTTTATCGAGTTTACATTTCCGTTGTCAATATGCTAGTTTTAGACCATTTTCCAATGGTTCCCCAGAGGTTTGTGGAAGGTTTCGAGGGATCAGGGCCCTATTGCACCAACGAATTATCATTAGCATTTTAGCAAATTATCGAACTTACGCAAAGTTTTGTGTTTCACCAACATGATAAGGAAAAGTTACTCAAATGAGTATTGATAAGTAAAATATCACTCAAAATCATATATAAGAGTTGCACCAAAATTTGAAATGCTTAGCGAAAAGATCTTAGCGGATAAGTTATAAGTTATGCAAATTATCAAAATTTATTAGCATTTCGTTGCACCAAAATATTTTTTTTTATCAGTTATCATCTTTAATTTTGCTAACTTTAGCATTATTTTGCTAAAAATAATTTTACCTATCATACCAGTGATAAGTTACATTTATTCAGTCTGAATGAAATAATCAGTGCTTTAACACGTGCTTCGATAAAATATTTACACAAAAAATGCTTAGATTCGAACTATTAAATTTATTAGAGGACGAAAATCCGCAAATAAGGCGTGTCATAAAAGAACGAATCAACTACGGTTTAGATATTGGCGTGCGAGAAAATTTTCGGCTATCTCGTAGCCAAATTGAAAAAATTTTATTAAAAATTGGAGCAGACCTACAATATAACAGTGAGCGTAATAATTGCTTAAGTCCGCTACAGCAATTATTAACGACTCTGCACTGGTTAGGTAATGGTAGCCAATATCATGGAATTGGTCAAATGCATGGGGTCCACAAATCAACGGTATGTAGGGTAATCCATCGAGTAGCAAATGCCGTGATAAACAAATTGATGGATGAAACTATTTGTTGGCCGGAATTTACGCAAAATATTGCCACACAATTTTTCAACATTGGTGGATTTCCACAAGTCGCAGGGTGCATTGATGGAACAATGATAAACATAGACGCCCCTAAGGTTAATGAGTACCAATTTGTTAACCGGTACGGAAACCATTCAATTAATGCAATGATGGTTTGTGGACCTAATTTTGAAATTTATGCAGTAAACTGTAATTGGCCAGGGAGTGTGCACGATGCCAGAGTTTTGCGAAATTCTGGGTTATTCCACAGATTTGA